AGAATTAGTATAACCAAACTAAGAAGCTTATTCATAAAACATTACCATGTCTTTAACATGTTTTATGTTCTCAATCAGTACCTATATTTGATGAAGATATACTTTCAAACAGAATTCCAACAAACCAAGTTTTAACAGCAAGAAGAATCTAAAAAAGGGCAACATTAATTTCAACAGAAATCCTTCTCAGGAATTGGAAAAAGGTAACGTAGAGGGAAAGAAAATACATGCGATGGATTGTGCGATGTATCCAGGGCCAACCTGATAGAGAGAAAAGCAAAAAAATTGATAATTACATACAATCTTAAAGCAAAAAAAAACATTGATAATCAATAGTCTTATCAAACTACTAAAGCATTAGGTTAAAGAATTGGTATAAGAAAATCTAATAAATAATCAACAAAAGCATACCCCCTTTGGCACTTGTGAAGTGAAACCTCTAGCAAGCACAACATTGCATATTCCCTTCACATTAAAGTGAAAAAAGGGGATTAATATGAGTTGAACTGGTGAAAAAAAAGAGATGCAGATTAGACACGTAGTAAGATGTACAGAGGATCAAATAGAACAGAAATCAACAAATCTCCAGATTTCTTTTGTTCAAATCTTATTCTTCTCAATCTGAGCCAGAATTTGAAGAAATAAATCCTGCTAAGAAGGATGCGAACAAAATCTAAATAGTCATACCGAATTTCAACATTGAAAAAGCATGAGATAGAGAGAAAATGTGCTGGAATGAAGAATAAGACTTGAACAGAATAAAATCTGGAGAAACGATCAATTTTAAAGTAAGGGAAACTAAAATCGCACTTGCAACATGAAACCGTGAGCACGAAGTGGGGGATTATAAATTACCATGTTGCGCTGAAGATCTACGCAAGAAAGAACTATGTGCATGGACTACTGTGATGAAGTTAAACGAAATCGAGAGAGAAGTGACAAATCACAAATACATAAGAAGCTTCAAGCTAAAGAGATGGAACAGCTGAGTTAGGGCTAAAAAACAAAAAGGGAAGAATTCAGAAATGTTGGAAGCCGCTGATCTGAATGATTAAAATCTTGCGGCTCCGATGCTTTAATCGTTGGGCGGGAAAAATGATCTCCATTTGTAGGGTGATTGCTAGTGACAACATTTTCAGTCCTCCATTTGCCTGAAGTAGCTATTTAGGCAGTCCTCAATTACGGTTTTAAGATTGAACACTAAAAAGGTCATTTCGAGAAAACTAAAAGGACTAAAAATGTAGAGTTTGTGACATCACATACCTGAGGACTGAGAGTTTAAGGGGTATAACTCAGAGACAAAGTGTCATGATTCCCATATGTAATAAATATATGAGCTGTGGACGAGAAATTGTAACTAAATTTTTAAACGTAATGCAGTAATAATGCATAAATATAACTACTGCAGATTCTGCACTCAGTTACTAATGGGGTGAGGGGAAGCAGTTGAATTAGCGACTTAACGTTAGAAAGGGCATCATGTTATTTTTAATTTGATAAGATATGGTAATATTACATCTCTATGTACAAGGCTGTAAAGATAAATCATAGACTCCAACAATTATAGAAAATTATCATCTCTAAATATTACTCTGTACAATTTACAAGACAATTCAAGAAACAATTACTCTTATGATAAATCTAGACACTAAACACTTTGGTTATTCTAGAAACTAAAGGCCAAACAAAAAGGGCTAATACTAACAAAACCCAACCTAGAGGGATTCAAATCATGTTTAGTATTTGAACGGGAGTGCAATGGCAGAAGTGTTCCCTAAACATAAGCCTATATTATGAAGCCCACATGTGCATATAAATATCTAGGTATACATAATAAAATTGCATGTTTAATTATTGAACTACAATAAAAACAAAGGAGTAGAAAAAAGGTCCGCCGAAGGGAAAGTACCTTCCAACTGCAAGCAAGAGTCATAAACAGGCTGCAAATTGACCGGGAAGGTGTAGGATAGGTCAAGATAAGTCAAATCTGGAAACCCACGTAAATTATTAAAGAAAGTAAGCAGATGATAATAAGAATGATATCAATGGGCCATACCTCTAGAGTACAGCTGAAAGCTATTGCAGACATCGAAGCTGAAGTGATTCCTTCACAACTGTGAAGCGCGCTTAAGCACTTCTAATGTTGTAAGCCTAACAGAATGCAAAGGAGAAGTCAGTTTGCTATCCTAACATATTGCGAAAACCCAAAACACAAAATGTAAGTGTGTACACTGAAGGTACTATGGGATCCCGGAAAATACTAGAGAAAGGAAAACAAATGATAAGGAAAGTTATTTCTTACTTTTGTCTTTACCTTGGAAAATAGAAAGATAAATGGATTATGATTAATTTGAGAAAAAACATATACACTTAAATCACTAAGGCTTTGCATAACAAAAAATATAAAAAAAAATAGTTTCAACAAGTATAATATATAATAAATTATTCAGTTTTGGATCTAGCTTTTAATTTACACCAAATTGTATGTTCTTCCAATTACCTTCTCTTTTTTCCTTCTTACTGTTATGTTTATGGGATGGCTCTCCTGATGAAAAATGGAGGTGTTTTTATTATGAATGCAAAGCTATCTTTTTATAGCAGGGATTTTAGGATTCACAATAGCTTAAACAAGGAAAGCAAGATGACAGCAGATAATTCCAAATTAAATAACAAAGGGTATAAAACTAAGCAGAACTTAGGCAATCTTCAATCAATCAAAAGCCCTCAAACTTTTACACAACCCTCTGGATATTTGTCCTTTTTTCTCAGTCATTTCATATTATTGAGTGTTCCTAAAAATGTCATTACTCTCCTCAAGGAAAGCCAAAGTTTGCAATTTTGTTTTCCAATCATAGAGTCATGAGTTACGATGATGGCTTCATCAAGAGACAGTGGGACTTCTTCTACATTAATCCTGAAAAAATTTAAAGAGCAGTTAAAAAATGAACTTCATGGTAAGGACTAAGGACTAACCTAATCTACTCATGCTAACTATGGAAGTCCTCGATGAACTCATTTATTGGTCTGCCACTAAGTATTGAGTTTGCTAGCTTTGGTTCACCCCGAGAGAGAATCACTAAGAGGTTAGATTTAATTTAAATATATTTATCAGAAACAATAAACATCTTATGTGGACTTTAACATGCCCTCTTAATCCTAACCAGGCTGGATAACTCAAGGGTTGAATTAATTGACCAAACCAGCCCCAAGAGGCTACAATAAATTATGGGCATCAAACGAACCACAATTGTATCAGCACTTCTATCATATTAAATTGGCCTAAATCACACTAGTGAGGCTACTTCATACTTATATAAAACACAAAGCTGGTTAGAAAACATCAAATGGATTTGATTTTGCATTGCGATGCAGCTAATTGTGTGGTCAACGAATTCACTGATTTAGCCAAACCAACATATGATCGCACAGCAGTTTGGAGGGCACAAACATCCGCTGTCAAAGCTTTTGATTTCCCACTTCAGCAACCAGCAATAGAATCAAAATGTTATGTTTACAGAAGAAGGCTTGCGTTAATAAGCGATTAAGGTATTGTGTGGGTGAAACTGGTTTGCTTATGGTGAAAAGGGGTATGCCGCTAAATGCATATAAATGGACTAATAGAAAGGCACAAAAGAACTTGGAAGTTACAGTGTTTCTCTCCACAATTGCGAACTTCTTATATGTAGCAGAATTACAACGTTTATCATAGCTTTAGCAAGGAAAGCAATATCACAAGGAATTATTTCAAATAAAATGAAGAAGGAAATTGAACTAAGTGGAACATTCACAATAACCCTGAAGTTATTTATCCCTTCCATTTTTTGGTCTTTTACTTTTATTAATGTTTCCAAGAAATGCATCACCTACTTTCTTTCCCTAGCTTGTCCCGTCTTTCGAACATGCCCTAACAGAAAACTATTTCAGCATCAGGTGGCATGCACAGAATGGATTTTAAACTGACCTCAAGAGAGATGTTTGGGCAGTATGAAGCATCAAGAACACGGAGACTCAAGCAGGTGAGATATATTTCACACGATATTTCATCTTTAGAACATGAACCGTTTGACATATCCACGTATTTTAAGAGTGAACATGAGGTTGATGCAGAACGAATAGCAGCATCTGGAAGCTTGTGACATGAAGCTATATCAAGGTCATGTAAAAGTGGCCAATTTAGCACAGCATAGGGCATGCTACTCCATTTTAGGGACAAAGTTTCAAGCAGAGAATGCCAGTAAAAAACAGAACACCTGTAATGAAAAGGTTTAATGCAACTTAAACTTGACACTTCTTGCACATGTTTATTTATGTGTTAACCTGACAGAACCTCCAAGTACCCAGCGATTCATGAGCTGAGGGCAACAAAACCTTTCAAGGTAAATATGTATTTCCTGAATACCATTTCCAACAGTAGAATCACTAATGACTAGGGTATTCTACACATGGCATGTGGAGCTTGGAATAATGTTTCTCCAAATTGACCTTTGCAGCACACTAAATTCAGCGCATATAATAATTTAAATATCTCAAACTTTGAAGGAATGTGATGTAAGTACCCCAAACTTGCACATGTAATATATATACCTCAAACATTATATAAAAAGGTATGTTAGCACCATGACCATATATTTTTTCATAAATGTAATGTTATGGTCTTAAGTACATAATTTTAAATACACAAAACATTTATGAAGATGTAATTAAAATTAATATTATTTATGAAGGATGTAATATTATTTATTTCACAAATGAAATTGTAGAATGTTAATTAAAAACTAACAAGGCTTAAGGTATTTTAAATTATATAATTATTCCAATAAATTTGTATTTGTAAAAGACATATAATTATGGTGCGGAAATAACTTTTTATATAAAGTTTGGGAATATATATTACATACTATCGTATAAAGTTCTAAGAAGAGTATATTTCACTTACCTGGTCTTTGGTGAGAACTAAATGAACAAAAATAGTTCAAACATGACTAGGTAAGTGAAATATACTCTTCTTAGAATCTGGTTCCTATATTGCCACTTGAACAGACACCCATTGACGTGCCAAACTAATTTCCTTATTTTGAAAAAAAAATGCACAATAAACTGCTGCTGCAGCAATGATCAAGAACAGAAATTCAAGTGTCTTCCCCTGTGGTAAACCTTCTTAATGAAAACAATCAATCCCATGCAACAAGAATGTAGTCCCTCTATATGTGAGTGATCTGCTATGAGTGCCAATGCACCATAAATGGCCTTGCTGTTCAAGATCTCCTTTCACTCCGGCTGTTTCCCATATAAACTTAAACAACCCCAGGGCCCGATCAAGCTGCTTCACTCCTCTCAAAAGCATTTTCTCTTCATATGATGTCAATATTTTCCCCATGCACAGGCGGAACTTATCCCCATGACCAACAGCATATAGTCCTCCACGAACTTCTACTTCAATATCGCTTACGCTACCATAAAGATAATACGTGAGAAGTGTAAATAAGCACCGAGATGAGTGGCCCAGTCTCTTGGTTAATATCTTTTGTACTAAGCTTTCTTGATGGCGGTTTTCCCTGCATCCAATGTTTTTATCTATCAGAATATCCCTTATCTGATAGAGACCTTCTTTCATGGCCTCTATATTCCTAACCTCTAGAGATAATTTTGTTACCTCACTCAAGCAGTCAGCAAGATCAATGAACATCTCAAGAATGTCTTCCCATTTGTGTGAAGTGGGAGGTGAATTAGCATCTCTTGTGGGTGCAACTCACATCCATGAACTGGAATCGGGGTTGTAAGAAATCACAATGTCCAAAACCTTCAGACAGCTCAAAACAATTTGCTTTGCCATTTTAGTTTCTTTACTAGGGAACGTAGAATCTAATTACTCCATCTCAGATTTCAACTTATTTAGTATCACCTCAAGCGCACCAGTCCATATCTCATGTTGAGTTACCTGGGGACATATCGTTGCCCTGACTACCTTCCTTTGTTGGGCTGAAACATTCAAGAACTCAGAAACCTTTGTGAGTGAATCCACAGTCATTGGTTCTCTCTCACCAGCTTTATTAAAACAATGAAGCTGCTGGTTCCCTTTTGCATTGCTCCCTAAAGACATAATAATATTTTTCCTCGTGATTTCTTGAACCAAAGGACACCCAATAAAGTCTCTTGCTAGAGACTTGAAAAGATGCATGTTTTCTAGCAAAATGTCATCTTCAATTATCGATTCATCAATAACATTAACAGTCCTACCGTTAACGACATCCACATTATTCAGCGAGTGGGATAACATTGTTAGCTTTGAGAAGGCTTTTTCATACCAATCAGACGAAAAAGACTCCAACTTCGGTTCCTCCAAGCAGTGGTACGAAATGGAATTCATTCTGATCACAGCATTCGGCCTGGCTGACAAAACCCTTGATCCACAGAAAAGGTTTCTCACAGCTCTCATTGCCATCGCCTAACAAAACTTCACACCAATAACATTTCTATGGAACTCTCTTCCACTGAACCACCAAAAACTGGGTTCTTCCCTATACAGTTCACCGTCACATTATAATCATACTTTCGTTCACCTCATATGTGGCATTTCATCGATCAAGTGGCGCGTGACTCACAAACTAAAGATAAATTGAAGCTTCACCTGCACTAGAAAAAGTGTAAGCTTTAGAAACATGTTTTGATGTTCCTAAGGAATCCCAACTGAACATAACGGAAAAAGAGGATATTTGTTTCGTCTGTGTAAAGAGCAGCCCCTGGGAGAGAGGACGAGGCGTCGAAGTCTGGGCTAAGAATTCAAGAGCTACAAAAAGCTTTAATTTGATGGCTTGGAAAGAAATTGGAAATATCCCACACCGAGGACGTTAGGAGGAGTTACCGCTATAGAATCTATAAATTGGGTAACTTGATTCCTTCAATCCTCACGCAGCCACGCTATAAACACAGAGCGAACTATTCTTTCGCCTTTTACTAAAGAATACCGTGTGTTTGTAGCAATCAGTGGCATACGCCCATTTTTGGAGGGTCTCCTTAATAAAGGAGCCCAACTAATTTTAGTTCAAAATTTGTACTTGTACCCATCGTGCTTGATTTGTTGAGAAGCTGTTTCAGAAGTGGGATTCCTAAAAATATTGAAGTTGTGAATTGTTAGTATTGAAATCCACCCACGATTCATATTCAAAAACGGGTTGGATAGTATGCTTTTTTATCTTAATTAATATATCATTTTTTATTTTATACGGAGCATTTGAATTTTTTGATTATAGAGTTGTGATTATCGTCAGTCAACTTTGTAAACTCCAAACAGCAATTCAATTCAAATACGGAGTATTAAAAAATCACCTAAAAATAACATCAGTTTTAGAAATTTTAGAAAACGCTAACAAATTGTATTGAATAAAATTTGAGCAAACAATTGAATTTTACATACATTAAATGTTTGCTAAAAATGACTGAAAAAGGGAAAAAATTGTATTACCTCCGTCCAAAAAATTATGTCATTTACTATGAGTGTAAACATTAAAGTGTTTATAACTAGGCTGTGACTCAAATGGAGGAATTCATTTGAGAGGGACAATTCATTTCATTTAAGTGATTGGCTCATTTGAACCACACAATGGGTGTGGTTAAAATGGGGTACCCCAAAATGGTGTACACCAAGCAAAACTCAAAATCTCTATCGTGAATAGATTTTTAGGTCTAGTTTTCGGAATATAGGGAATAGAGTCATGAAATAAACCATCTTACTATAAACTTTAAAGTTTTAAAAAAGAGCTTCTGTAAATTTTTAAGAATAGACTTGAAATTGTTTAAAATATAAAATATTCCAAAGCTTGGAATCAAGTAAATATGACTAAAACATTCATAGATTCTTAATATATTACTAGCAAAATTAAACATGACTTTATAAGAATAATAATTGAATTCAAAAGAAAAAGTAGATCCAAAACACATACATACATTTTGGCAAGTTTGAAGGATGATATAGATCTGGATAAGTATTCCGTATTTGTCAATGTAAAGAGAGACAATTGGATGCGGGAGAGGGGATTGCCTAATTCCACTCTTTCTCCCCCGGGTAGCTTATATGTATGTAATCTCTTTCATTGGGGAAGATGGTAAAAAATGGAATGAACAAAGGGTTAGGAGTTTCTTCTCAAAAATGAGCAAAATATCACAGTTTGAGACGGGGTCCAGATGAGTTTTACTAGTGGTCCAAATTTCAGCATAAATTACATAGTGAAGAGCAGCGAGATCATGGAAAATGGGTGGCTCAACTGGACCAGAATGTGGAAGTTTTTATTCCCCCGATAACTAATTTTTTTTTGGTAGCTAATGGTGGGGTTCTTGCCTACATCGAATAACTTGAGGAGGAGAGTGGACGTTAATCCATTGTGTTTTCTTTGCGGCGCAAAGGAAGAGATGAAGTTGCATATTTTTACTTGTTGTGATGTCTCTTCGGTGGTCTGGGCTATGTTGTGAGCGGTGTTTCAAAGGCAAGATATGCTTTAATTGATTTGATTAAAAATTTGATCATATGCAGAATGGAGAGCTACGCATATTTAATGTCACTTTGTGGAGTATATGGAAGGCGGGAACAATGTTGTTTGAAAGGATATCATGTTTAACTTGGCGCAAGTGTTGCAATGCTACAAGGGAGGCAGAAAGCACAGGACGACATCAGCAAGAAGGCCACTCCCAGCCCGGTAATGCCGACAAGGTTGGGCAGAAGCCAGATAGAGGAGAAATTTAAGTCAATGTAGATACTGCTTTGGAGAACATGTGGGGAAGAAGAGCTTGGGGTTAGGTGGCTCAAGACTATTCGGACAATTTCATTGTGGGAGGCAGATTCGCGTCTAAAGCAGGTTGGAATGCAACTGTGACGGAAGCTCTGGGACTTTGAGCGGTGCTACATTGGGTCCCCCCAACAAAACTCTAGTAGGGTGACGGTTGAAACGGACTCGTCATTTGTAGTGCTGAGGATACTTTGAGAGGATGATAATTCCTATCTAGATGTCGTTATTGAAGATATTAAACACATTTTGCTTCATCAAGCGCGTAATGAAGTCATGTTTGTCGGAGGTCAACCGACATGGTATCTCACAAACTTGCTAGGGGTGCCGGGTGCGTGTTTATTGTTTAAGGCAGAAGGAAGCTAATTTTATAGTACTAATCTAGATTGCATTAGTTGACTGATGAACGATGAACGATGCTTTAAATTAATTTAGTTTTAATGCTTTCCTTTATAAAAAAAACACATACCACACATATAAAATACTACTCCATATTAATTTAATATACCAAAACTATTTGTCTGTGCCTCTTTTAGTCATATTCCTAATAATTTTCTCTATATTGTACTCTTTCTGTCACATTGAACTTTGCCAACTTTCTGTTTTTGTTTGTCCCAAAAATTTTACTACTTTTCTTTTAAAATAATGAATTTGTGGTTTTTTTTTAAAAGGAAAATTTTATTGATAGGAATAAGAGTATAGCTGTACAGTGCGAGAAGGAAAAAAAAAACAACTAAAAAAAAGGCTAGCCCCAGGGAAACTTCTTGGACTGGGATCTAGTCCTCATACTGTGATGCCTTTTATTTTTCTGGAATTTCCTGTAAATTTTTAGTTGTGTATTGAGGTTGTCCCTATTTCTCCCTTCTTGCACAAATTTTAGTCACACAGTTTTTACTTTTCTAATTTCAAACTCAAATCAATGTAGGCAACGTTGTGAGAAGAAAATCCAGATAGATATCTAATTAGTCCAAACTAAAATAGCCATGAAAGGACTTCAGTACACGGTATTCACATTCACAATATGGATTCTAACTGCTTTAAACTTGGGTCCATGATATCTGGTGGTGCTTCATATTCTTCCTCCTGAGACCTTTCCATGTATGCACCAGCTACAGTTCGCCCTTGGTCAAGTACATTGGGTGGCACCGTTTTTAGAAGTCTGCATATAACAAGAAAAATGAGTATGGAACTACTAAGCTTTCTAAAACATGATTTTAAACTGAACTTAGAAAATAAATAAATTGTATACTCGTCAAGTGCATTGATTGCTGCAGTGGTCTTTCCCTTCATAGATTCAACAGATGCATCTTGTTTATTTCTCGATGCATGCAAAAGCAATGAGTCAAGTTCTTCCAACGATCTTCATGTATAAAAATGGTACTACTATGTAAGTGAAAATGACATTAAAGAGTGGTCAGAGAGTTAAGCTGCAATTTTTAGATTTCCGCAAGGCACAACCATTAAAAGTAATACAACATCAATCAAGTCTTATTTCCAAAAGAGTTTGGAGTCAGCTAACATGAATCAACATATTTATATTTCAATTCATGTCATGATATGTGACTAAATTATATTGTTGGTCATCACCCGCCTACCGCTGCACCTTCCTCCTATCCTGACTTGAGACGGACATGAAACCACTAAAAGTAATGAAAGCATATTTTTGTACATAATGTTTTTTAACATTATAACTAGCATTTTTTGGCAATTCTTTAGCATATTTCATGAAGAAATGAGCTTTGTTTGACTCCTTTTATGGAAGAGAGGGGGTACCTATTTCACTATTTGTATGCCATGGAATCACAAACTCCACGAGTGACAAGCATTTCTCCAAAAATGTAAGGAGAGAGTGACATTTTTTAAAGTGGTGTGTACTATATAAGCTATGGCCCCTGAATAACGCTTTTTATGGTAGGTGTGAACAGGTCAAGAACTTAAAACCTAGCTATTCTATTATGAGGTGAATATAAGAACATCATACAGATTCTCATAAATGAAAGAATATCAGATAGCATATGTTACAATAATCGAAGCAGCACCTCAAGCATTGATCAACTTTACTGAAGGCTAAAGAACCATTGCCATCGTCAGATGCATATTGAGCCACCTGCAATTGCATATAAAACTTAATCACTCTGATCGATTGGTATTTGAGAAACAAAGTCACAAATTTCACTAATATGAAGAAAACTATAATCACCACAAGAACAGTAAATTGACCGTCTTTCATTTTCAGATTGCTCCTAAATAATAGCCTTCCTGTTTCCGTCTAAGTAATTATTATTATGTCTCTGTGTCCTTAATATTGATTTTATGCGTTTCATTTTCTTGTAGTCTATGCAAGTCAAATGTGGTACATTAAATGGGGATGTAGGGAGTAATATCTTCATGATGATCAGACTCACTTTTGATTCTATATACGTACCATTGATTTAGACATTACATGCAGCCATTCAAAAGGGTGAGGGTGAAGAAGGCAGTTAAAGACTTTAACTTACTGCTCGGATATTAACACGAAGAGATGCAGCAGGACCAGAACGTAATAGACTCCTGCAGTCAGCATATTTCGGTTGATCAACTTCCAGAGATTTCCCTATATACATAAAAAAAAATCATGAAAGCAGAATGCCATAGCCAGGATATTAAATGCTACTCCATACAAGAATGAAAGTCATGACTGTTCTTTCACCATACACTGAAATACTGAATTTTAGAGTTAAATAAAAGGAAATGAAAATATCCTCTAAGGCAAATAGATGATAAAACTAAAAAATAAAAATGATGGGATCATATAAAAGGAAAAAGAAAGTAGAATATAAACCCCCTTTTAAAAGTTAGTTTAGTTAAATGCATAGGAGTTGTGACATTGTATGGATGTTGTGTGTATGTACGTTGTGATAAATTCAAAAGCAATTATTCATGGACAACTGTCACGGCATATTAAAAACAGAGTTAGATACCTCAGTTATTAATTTAATTACGGGGATAAAAATTTATGGATTTGTTTGATGTGTAAACTTACCCCTAGACATCTGAATATAAAAATAATTGAAATGGCATGATAATCTTGTAAATAAGACTTCTAAAGTTCTAAAAGCAGCATTTCATGGTGTACATCTACTGTATCTGTCCTAGTAGATGCAATGATGTTTGAATATTTGATCAAGGAGACTGGAGACATAATGACATAGAATTCAAGTGAGATGGAGATCTACCATGTCACTCTTTGCCAGCCTTAGTACACTATGGAATGTATAAATTGTGAAACAGAAGTCAGCATTACCTAATTGTTTGATCTGCAACTGAGCCAATAACACAGCTGGTACATAAGATTCCAGTGGTTCAAGCTTTTTCCTAGGTTACAATAATATGGTGGTAAGATTGAAGTGACTAAATGGTGGATATGAAAGAAAAAGAAACATGTCAATGAACAAGCATCAGAAAATATCAAGCAAACAAACATGCCTCTATAAATTTTGAATTCTCTAGAGTTAAATCCATCAAAAGTAACACTTCAGAAACCTTCTCATAAACCAGAGAGCATGTAATCTATTAAGTCTCGGTATACATTTTTTTTCTACACTTTTCTAGCTACATTTGACTTTCGCTTGTTGGATGTTGAAAGACTAGAAAATTTTCAACATCTAGTAAGTTAAGTAAATGCCACATATTAATGTAGCTAAAAATGTAGGGAAGAAATGTTTCCCCATCCTTACTTGATGTAATAGTACTTGGTACTTACACAATATAAAGGTGGAAGGAAGTCAAATACTAGAAAGAGAAGAATAAAAAGTGACAAGTCAAAGCCATGGTTGAAACGGAATGAAAAGAAAGACTACCAACTAAGAAATCACAGTCAATGTTAAAATAGAATAGTTAAGATAGTGTAAAAATAGTGACTGTTGAAGAATTTGAAACATGTTGGCTAACTATTCCCTGCATTCCAAAATAAGGGTTCTGGTTTTCCACGGCAAGCTTAAGACAGCAGAAGTGTGTGTTTAAGAATTATTCCGAGGAGGGAGATATCGGGTGAATTGCATGATTATTTTCAGAAAAGAAAATATGAACCTTCTTTTGGGAAGGCGGGGAAAGATAAAATGACAAACCAATGTACAAATCTTTGGGGCAGTCTTAGTCTTAATAGTAACTAATAATTGTGACAAAACCCACATATTCCAGATTAAGATAGACTAAGGAAATGTGTCAAGCCATGATGCAGCACTCATGATTCAACAGCAAATAAATCAAAGCCTTGCAGTCAAGGTAGAGCAAAAGATATCACATGGAATCAAGGAAAAGAACATTCACCTTAATTCAAACCCCAGATGTTAATAGGAAACGGGAAATATCCTTACATAGGACTATAGGAGGCTAGGAGCAAAGTATGACATTTTTCTTTACATAGGACTGCAAATAAAAATATGACAAACTATAAATGATTACCCAAAATAATCTTTTATTATGCAGTTTCCAACACTCAATAGAAACTACTTCCAGACTGCTTCCAGCAGCCAGCGCTGCTGGAAAGTCTGCAAGTCGCAGAACTCCAGTCACTGCCAGGCATTCACCAGTCTAAGCCAGGCAGCCACCACTAAACCCTGAGAGGAAGGATGGCAAAACACTAGAAATGCTAACCCAGCCCAAGAGGGATTGATAAACCATAAACACTAATGTTAAATTCTGAAGGGTTATTTAGGCTAATATCAATTCCTTTTAAAAAAATAAGGATCATATACATTCTGCTTAAGGAATATAACCTAGGTAGACCTGTTTTTGGAAAAAGGATAAGTTTTAGCCCTATGAAGAACAATTTTCTCATAGGAAATAGCTTGTAAACTAATATACCAACTAATCTCAATATATGGCCCCATATAATTTGCAGAAATCAAGTGCATTAGGATATCAACTCTTCACTTGCTGAAAAATCAGGCCTGCACTAAAACCATGTTTTTCTTTTTCAGCTTCCAACAATCCGACATTACTACAAAATCTAAATTCAGATTCATGAATAAATAAATCAAATAATTGAATCGCTCATTCGTAATGCAATTGCCTCTTTTGATTCATACCTCACCTTTTTACATATTTATCCAAACCGCTGCCGCTTACAGCCAGGACTGCCTCTGGAAAGGCACAAAAGTTCCATCAAGCTTCTGATGTTTTAGAAGTAGAACTAATGTTCCTTAACTCCTTTGTACAATAAGTATCTAGTTGACAATTTAGTTTCTCATAATAAACAAATTAAGAGGAAGGAATACCTTTCGGCACTGAGAACCAGAAGAGAAAGCCGGCCAGAGACACGGAGACCAGCCTCCTGCTTTCCCGCCCTTTCTCGGAGCCCAATGCGCATCTCAATCTCAAACACCGCAGCTGTCTTCTCGCCGGAAGCAAGCTCGAAAATTGCAAACGAGAGCGCTGCGCAAATGGGCTGCTGACGGTAACCTGCGCAGGGCAGAGCGACATCTCGCCGGAAATTACTTCTACAAGGATAAAAGAAAAGTAAGCTTATCCAAAGTCCATTTTTATGGTACTCGAAGTTTACCAAGGTAGTTAAGAACTTAGAATCTTTTTCCAACAAGGTTGTTAGAATCTCTTTTTTTATTGTCTCATAAAATTTTGTTATTTTTCTAAATAATAATGTTGTGATTCTTCCCATTTCTCTTTTCTTTGCACATTTTTCAATTATACAAATTTTACTATTCTTATTTCTCACTTAACTCAATTAGAGCATCTCCAATGCAAAAACGTGAACGATGCATATGTGGCATGAATGATAGCCAATTAAAAAATAACAAATAGAATATCTCTCTTCTTATTTGAACAGTCTTATATGTTTTTGGTAAGTTTTTCTCCACAATGTCTAGATGTAGACACCGTGGTTGGCATTGCAGAGAAAAACTTACCAAAAACACATAAAACCGTGGACAGAAGGAGAGAGAAATGTCAAAATTTTAATTTCTTGTGTCTATCTCTCTCATGCCACATGTGCACCATGCACATTGTAGCATTGGGGATGCTCTTAGTGCAAAATTCATTGGGACGGAGGTAATATTTTGGTCCGTTACTTTGTTGTATTCATTGTCCAATTGCTTGTGTACACAGAAGCTTCTGAACGAGCGATCTATGTACACAGACAACTAAGGATGTGTACAAAAAAGATGTACAAGTGATATTTTCCATAAAAATATGGGTGTCCACCTAATTTTTTTCTTTGTGAATGACTGAGAGTTTTTTTTGTAAAAATATGCATCACTAGTTATTTTACACCGAGTAATCGGAAAAATCACTTCAAACTTACTTTTTTTTATAATTAAACTTTTGAACGTGCAAAATAAAAAGTTATGTGTTTGATAAAAAAAAATATCTAGTAAGTCTGACAGCAAAAGCTAGATCACCAAACGTGATTTTAGTGGGATGGAGCCATGTAGGCTATTAATGCTAGTTTATAAGACTGATTTGGATGAGAAATTGCTATTTGTCCGTGATTTGGATGAGAAATTGCGATTTGTCCAAACAATAATAACTATTCAAAGAAAAGGAAAAGTGGACAAGAATAATCTCAACTATTAGTGATTTGCATGAAACAATTCAAAGTAACAATTATCTTAAAATAATCTCAACTATTGAAAAATATTCTAAAAATACTCCAGTGACTTATAATTATTCATATATAACATGAAGTATTTTGAGAAGATTATTCAATAATTGAAATTATTTTGAGATAAAAAAATACTTTTGATTATTTCAAGTAAATCATTAATAGTTAGAATTATTCTTCTCATTATTCGGTAAGAGAAAATATTTAAAGAAATGGAGCACTTCTCATTACTTTGGTAAAACGTCAGATGGAAAGTGACTAGCCAACAAATAAGAGCAACCGACTACCTTTATCACCATTGGATATGCTTGATTTTCCATCTATTTTCTCTGCTATGGTTAAAGATAGATGCTTGACACTTTGACAGTCGACATCTTGGTCGGTGGCTCTCTCTAAGAAGCTCCGACATGGCGCCGGTCCAATGCTTTCTTCTCTGTATTGTTTTCTTCACCTGGGCTTCAGCTAATGTTCAAAGTGAGCTCAACCTTTTTTCTTCACTTTCCTTTGAAATGCTAGTTTTCTAGTGGATATGGGTTCTGCTATGTGTATGTGGCTGCATATTGTCAATGCAATGTCTTGTGAGTATATATGTAGTACTTTATAACACTTTATACACACATAATTAGTGTATTGATATGTTAACATTGGATCTTGACACTTGGAATGAAAAGTGAAGGAATTGAGTTTTTAATTGTCCATTGATCCAGATCAGTGTTTGGGTTTGTGTGTTTGTACTGTATTTTTTAGATCTGACCATGGGTTGGGAGATAATCTTCACCTGGTGAGGACATGTGGTAGCTGAAATCATAGATCTTTCTGTTTACTTTTAAAAGTTATTTACATTGAGGTTCAATGAATGCTTGTGGAAGTTGTTGAAATATTTGAATTTGGAATTTTGTTGGGCGCTCTTATTTGCTTTCCAACAACATTATGTTTTTTTCTCAATGAAGCCTGTTGCAGTACTGAAGATTCTTGGGGTGATTTAGGGCTTGGTGGTTGGGGGGGTTTTGGAGAGAAGGGGAGGAGTGTAATTTATTATATTGATTTTTTACTCTTAGACTAGGAATTGATTATGTGTTTTGCTAAGTCATGCCCGTTCTCTTTCCAGCCATAAGAATGTAAGAATACGTTCATAAAATAAATAAACCCTCCCCTGATTCCACTCTGAAATCCACAACCAAACAAGTGCCAAATTTCCTGATCAAAGTTTGATTGCTCTATTGAGACTTAATTTAAAAAATACTGTCCAAATTTTTATTGTGTCTAGATTCTATTAATGGGAGTGCTGGTCAAGCGGTCATCTGAGATTTATATAAATGGTGATCTCAACATCACGGTCGTAAATTATCTATTCTGTAAATTTATGAAACTAAGGGTTAATTTGAACCTAGTACCCTAAATTTACATTTATGAAAAAAATCTACGATCATGATATACGGATCATCTATAATATATAATTCAAAGAAGTCCTAATTAGGCTGGAAAAAAAATCAAAGCATTTATTTTGCACATTGGAGTACCAAGTTCACTTATTCATAGTTGGCATTAGAATTATTTTTCCCTGTTTTTAACTAAAAATCATTTGGAACCATTGGTTTCCAGATGCGAATGCAGTTATTAGAGTGACAGACAACCCTGCTGATAAGCTGGTAGATGCACTCAACAAGAATCGGACTGCGAAGAAATTGCCTTCCCTATACAGCAACCCAGGACTGGCATGCATAGCTCTGCAATACATAAAAGCTTATCAAGGTGATTGCAAATCTGTTGGCGGAGAAGGCTCAGAAGCTAAGAAACCTGCTGATTCTGAATTTACTGAGACATTTGCCCCCAATTGTGGCGTTAAAGTAAATACCCTTGCTCACATAACTGGGCGTTTTATCGCCTGCCAGTCTGAGTATGTGGACTCACCTTACGCCTTCTCGCACATCCTGATTGGAAAGCAGAAAAGCTTTGATATCCTCTACAGCAAAAATCACACTGAGGTTGGTGCTGCTGTGAGTGGCACTGATCGTGGTGGTCCGTATTTCTGGTGTGTTCTGTTCAGCAATGGGAAATCAAACCAAAGCTTTGTTTTAGACGGGGGTGTGGCGAAGCTGACAAAGCCTGGATGTTTCAGCGGCGCGAATGATGTTTGTAGTGAGGCTTATTCTCTCTCTCAAACCTTCCTTCACCCATGGCTAGTTGCTGGTGGAGCTTTGCTTGCCCTCTTCTATGCTTTTGGATCAGGATGATCATTCTCTATGCTTTCATGCGCTCATGGATTGTCAGTTGCTACACTTTTGGTATCTTTTTTTATGTGATTTAGGAATTTCTTCAGCATCTATTCATTCAGTTTTATTTGTAAAGGCTGTTTATTTATCGATCTCATGCATTTGTTTTTGCTAAAACATTGAAAAATTTGCTCAAAGTGAGACTAGAAGATGACATATACTCCCTTTGTTAGATATTTTTTTCTCCTATTTTCCGTTTTGAGATCCTCAAAATAAATGTCATGTTTTTTTTTTCGAAAAAAATATGTAGATCACAGCTAGGAAACAAATTTTAAGTGTTCACTTAAAATTGATCGCTTAAAATTAATCTCAAATATAATGAGAAAAGGGGCAAAATCTCCTTGAAGTTGTCACCAATACCAATGGGCATCTTTGCATTTAAACATTTTTTTTGGGCAAAAAACTTCAAGATCGATGAAGGAGGGCAATCACCAGTCTTAACTTCTTAAGTCCGGTAGCCAATTAAGGGAATGGGCAACTATTACATTTGTTCTTATTATGACCGTTATAATATCACAACATTTTTGATATTTTTCTTTTAGAGCCCGTTTGTTATCTCTGCTTATTAGTCAACTTTTTTCCCAAACACGTAATTTTTTATTTCACGCGCTAAATTGCGTAATAATAAGAAAAATAAGGTTCAGGTTAATTTTCTGACTGTATTGACTGAAGTTACTGTAGAGGACAATTTTAGGTATTTTGACATATATTTTTTTCTTTATTTTATTAATAAATTATATTTTAATTTTTTTTAATAAATCAGTAGAATCAACCAATTCAACCACTTTAGTCAGAATTTCATAAATTTCAGCAGAATTAGCCGATTCAGCCAATTTTGGTATCACCAGACGGGCTCTTAAATTCAGCCGGAGAAGTAAACCTATAATATTTTTGTCCTAAAAGCAGGACATACTTTCTCCCTTCATAAAACAATGCAACATGTTGAATTTTATACTATTCACATGATCTCCTATTCTACTTTATATATGCTTTATTTATTAATGTTTTAATATTTAAAAAAAATCTTAAATTTGTCTTAGTGGAAATTTTCAAAAACTATTTTTTTATTAATATATATTTCATTTGCCCATGAATAATCATCCAAAGTTGGTTTTGCACGGGAATGAAGAAAGATAAATTTGTGTGGTGCAAAGTTGCACTGAAGAGAGAGAAACGTGTAAGAATATGTAAAACATATTGTCAATCACAAATTATTTGCAAATAAATGATTGTTTTGAGACGAAAAAGGACCAAAGTTAATTTAGGGACGGAGGGAGTATAATTCTCTATTAATAAAAAGCAGATTTCGAAAAATTTACAATGTTACAAATTTAAAAATATTTTCAAAAATAATAATTTATTAATACATGAATAAATAAAGTGTGATTAAACTAGAAAATGTGAATTGTGTAAAATTCAACATTTCGCACTTATTTAAGTAAGGGGAAGTATATCCTGATTTTAGGACCAAAATATTCTAAATTTAACTCTTTAATAGAGCACAAGCTAAAATTAAAAGAGAAAAATATCAAAAATACATTTAAATTGTTATGCACGTTCATGGTAACCAAATGACAAATTGAACACTCCGTAGTTGACACGTTAACTGGTTCGCCATGAGCAAGGGGGAGATTGCCCCTCTTTGATTTTAAAGCTTTTTGGCCAATAAAAAAGTTAAGGGCATGGTTATTATTTGGTGAGAACTTCCAGAGTATTTGTCACTTTTCCCAAAAATAATATATATGAGAATATATGGTACCATCTCTACATATGAATCACTTAATTCATATTTAGGTGAATTAAATATGAATTAAAGAATTTCACTCAAAATTAAATCTTTAATCCTTCAAAAATTCGAACGTTCTTCGGATCTTCGAATCTTCGTTCTTCGGGTCTTTAAAACTTCTTGAATACAAAATTCAGCTTGAAGGTATCTGCTTTTCAAATAATATTGAATAATCCAAATTAATTTAATTGCTAAATGTCTTCTCGAGGCGTCCATATCATTATCTTTCTTTTGATAAGGCCCAAAGATGGTCACGAGCGGAAAAGTAGAATTTAACGTCGGTCCAATAGCATTCAAAGAAGACTCAATAAGGCTATAATAGTCCAATAGCACTTAAATGAGTTCATAATATTAAGGACCATCATAACATAATAAGTCCAAAATGCTAAATAATTTTCAATATCCACAATAATATCATTTTAATTTGTTTTATTCAAAATCTCAACACATTGTTATTTCTCAACCATTTAATGAGGAAAATATCAATTGAGTACATCAACTTGTATGAGGTGGAGTAAAGAGTACACTATATTGCATTTGATCTTTTTAAGTACATAAACTCGCATTTTTAGTGTTAATTGAGTACATCTAACTGATTAACACGTTAATACAGCTGAGTTGGCTAACGGAATGTTGAGTAAGAAGGGTGTAATGGACCAAGGTTACGACACCGACCTTCACAAAGTTTACCAAAAAGGAAAATTCGACCTTCGGGGGGCGTCGGCCAGCAGGGGTGCATCGACCAAGGAGAAGTCGACCTGCGGGGGTACTAACGTCGACCAAGGAGAAATCGATGAAGTGGCTGGGGGCTGGCTCGACCTTCAAGAAGTCGACCTAATAACGTTATGTTAGTCAACTCAGCTGTATTAACGTGTTAATTTAACGAGTGTACTCAATTAACACTAAAAACTCAAATTTGTGTACTTAAAAAGATCAAATGCAATATTATTTAGTTTTTACTCCACTTCATACAAGTTAACCCTTACCTCACCATTTAATTAATAACCTATCAAATCAAAACAAGACATTTAAAATAAGGAGGGAATATGTAACACCGTCCCCAAATATATTTACTTTTATGTAAATAATGTATTGAACCTTATTAAAGGATTAATGAATTTACGAAGTTGTAAATTTTTATTATTTCGTTCGCGTGAATAGTAAATTGCACGTGGGACCGACACCGGGAGCGGGGGCCCGCCCGACTATCCCGAGACCACATATTTTATTCATCTCGGTCAAGATAATATTTATATGGTGGTGGATATTTTATTTGGGCCATGGAAAGGCCCGGAGTTGACCGATTGGTCAAAAGAAGCCCAAATTACCGGTACTGGTAATTTATCAGATAACAGCCCGAACTGAATTTCGGAGGCTTATAAATTAAAGTTGGGGGATGTATATTCATTATACATGTAATACTGAGTAAGAGCACATAATATATTTTATTTAACCCGATAAAATAAAATATATTTAAAACAGTCCGAAAAATACAACTTTCGGGACCGATTGTACACATCGGGACACAAAGGGATGACCTCCCACATGAGTGGGGGCCATCCCACGTTTTATTCAGCTCAAATGTGACCTTTTGGGGCTGCAAAGACAAGGGAAGGTGGGAGGAAGGTCAACCATGAGGTAGGATGGGACCCTTTCCCCCCATAATTGGTGAGATGAGCCAAAAAGGCCATCCTATCACCCCCTCACCCCAATAGCTCGACCAAGACACCCAAGAAAGAGAAAGAAAGGCTCTCCAACCCTCCTCCATTGCAGCAACTCGAGCTCAAGCAAGAGAGGTCCAAGGAGTGGGATTAAAGAAGGAAAAAGGCTAGGAAAAGTGTGTAAATTAAGGTAATGACCTCATTATAACTTTTCCTTTATTTTTCTCCTACCATATGAGATATGTATCATGTGAAGAACCCTTAAGAGGGTTCTACATGTTATAAGTATGGATTTATGGGTTAGGAAGTGATTCTATGTCCAAGAACGGTCTTAGAAGCCAAAACGACCGGTTCACCGGAAAATAACCTTTTTGAGGTTATTTGTATTGATATGGGTATTATGATTATAAAACCTTGTTAGGAACTTGTGAAAGGTATTTCAAGTGATTTCACAAAGTTGGGAAAGTCGCCGGAATTGTCGCCGGAGTTGACCAAAAGTCACCGGAGTTTCACCGGAGTTCAACCAAGAAGGGTAGAACTTCATAACGCTAATTCAAGGTGAGTGGACGGCTTACTATCTTATAACTTTTGGGTCAATCATGAGATTACCTAAATAAATGTTATATGTGTTCATAATGATGTTCAAAAGATATTTAAACATGTGATTAGCTTACATAGTTAAGTGCGTATGAAAAGAATAATTGTTTATGCATGAAATATGATATGAGAAATTATATATATAATGCATATTTGCTTTAAGAGTAAAAGAAGCACAAACGGATATTATTAACTTAATTATATGATGAATTAGTTAATAAGTGTAAGACTTGAGATGGCGGTCAACAACAACGTTGACCGATGGTTAATGGATTAATTAATATCGGTTGATATTAGTTAATTATACATTTATATGGTTGCATGGATTTGCATGGATTGTGATACATAAGCTTTATGTAGTGAATTAGTTATGAATGACTAAATATGATATAGACCCTATCTAGCGTGATATGTGGTAAGTCATAGGTCGGGTGGAGTACCCAAGGATCGGGCGGTTATCCTCAAAACTCGGTTATATAGGGTGGAGTACCCAAGGATCGGGCGGTTATCCTTAAAACTCGGTTATATAGGGTGGAGTACCCAAGGATCGGGCGGTTATCCTCAAAACTCGGTTATATAGGGTGGAGTACCCAAGGATCGGGCGGTTATCCTCAAAACTCAATTATAGGGTGGAGTACCCAAGGATCGGGCGTGTATCCTCAAAACTCATAGATTACATTTAATGATCTAGGACCGGGCGGTGTCCTTATGATAATTTATTTGAACAAGGAGGAGTTCTATACACTCATAGGTATATGGGTGGGTTGGGATTTAAGTCAAGGATATTGGCTACTATTATTTTCCCAAATAAACAATGACCTACGGGTCGGGTATTTCCAAGTGTATGTATACTAATATGTATTTCAAACTTGGGGGAAGGACTATACGTATATGTATCATCCTATGTTTGGGTCTTATACTTGAACGCTAGTTATTCTATATTTAGCCTGCTACTCGCTCGGTACTTGTACTGACCCCTTCGGGGGGCCCCACCATTTTCAGGTTGAAGCTAGGGCTTGCTACTTGCACCTCTCTTACGGGTGATATCGACTCAGGAAGACGTGGTTCGTGCTTCCTTATTTTCTTTCAAACTACCGAACACTTGCTCATGGATATTTGTTCTACTATAAACTATTTTTGGGGCTTGCATGCCCATGTTGTTGGCCGGTTGTGGCTTATGACTTACCGTTGAATATTTCCGCTATTCATTGGTTTTAATGTGATGTTGTTATGTATGTTTACTACTGAGTATGGATGGATTATATTCTCGAACGCCTTGTGTAATTAAGTGAGGTTGACTCGCGGGTGACGTCACTTGGTTATACGGCGGTTGTACACGCGCTTGGATTGCGGTCTGGGGCGTGACAATTAAGTGGTATCAGAGCCATCTCAGTTCTAAACTATATAATCGACCTCTCACAAAGGATTTTACAAAAGAGTTTCTACCGAAAACCATGAGCATTGTATTTTGACGTTTATAGGACTATTGGTGCTTAAGTTGCAAGGCCTCTAATTGTTAAGACGGTACCCTTAACAATTGGTATGGTAGTGACTTGGGCCAATACGTGTCTGTAACGTTCTTCCGTCAATTGACATTTATAGGAGTCTAATGACTCATCCATATTTCTTTCAGAAATGGAGGGCAGGCGAATGGGGACCAGGAACAATCCGAGGGGGCAGGCGCCGGTAGCATCCCAAAGGGGAAGCCGGGCTGCATCTCGGGGTTCAAGAGGAGGTCATGGAGGCCGTGGAAGCCGTGGAGGTCATCAAGCTCAAACTGTGAGTGATGGCCATGTAAGCTCGGTGTATGAAACCAACACCGAGGACTATGACTCTACGTATGTTCCTGAGACAGGGCATGAGGAGACCCCATATGATGGGGGTGACACATACACCGATGAGGACAATGATGAAAGTGATGCCCGCTTCGCCCAAATGGGTGAATTACTTGAGTGGTATCAAAAGGAGAAACTGAGGAGAGACCTTAGGCGCCAAGCGAGGCGTGGCTCTCGTGGTGGTTCGGGTCAAGGAAGCCGGGGAGCTTCCGTGGCCACCCCAGCGGCGCCACAAGGTGGGCATGAAGGAGGTTTTGTGGTAAGAATCTCCAAATACCTCAAGGAGGCTAGGGCCTTGGGGTGTAGGTCCTTCGACGGCACCGGCGACATTACCGTTGCCGCCGATTGGATCAAGAAGGTGAAGGATGCATCGAGAGACATGCAGATTACTCCGGACGTGAAGCTAACTGTCGCTTCACGGCTACTTGAGGGGATGGCTTCTACATGGTGGGAAGGTGTAGAAGGGAAATACCGTGGGGACATCTCATGGGAAAATTTTGAGCAAGAATTTTATGCTCAATACTACTCCGATTTCGAGGTTAATGTGAAAAAGAGGGAGTATACCAACCTCAAGCAGAAAGAGGGTTGCACGGTTAAGCAACTGGAGCAAGAGTTTAGGACCTTGGCTAGGTTCTTACCGGAGTATGCGATCGATGAGGACCGCATGACTGAGCACTTCTGGGATGCCTTACTCTTGGACATCCGAGATCGTGCCACGTATTCCCGCCTCATGACCTTTAGTGAGGTGGTAGAGCAGGGCATGCTTGGAGAGGCCCAGTGGAATGAGAGGAAAGCAAGGGACGCCGAAGAGGCGAAGAAAAGGAAGTGGAATAATTCGGGGCCACCCGATCATTCTCGAAGGAACAACCACGGGGGTGGTGGTGGTGGCGGTGGTTCATTCAAGGCGCCGGCTCCACCGGCAAAGAAGAATAGGGATGCGAGGTGGCACGGACCTAGGCCACAGAACTCGGGGCCACCTAGATGTCCCAATTGCTCAAAACAACACTTTGGGAGGTGCAACGAACCACCGAGGTGTTTTAAGTGCGGGAATGCGGGCCATATGAAGGCCAATTGCCCTCAATTGATGCAAGAGAGTGCCTCGGGAGCCGGGGGAGGGACCATAACGGGAAGAAACCGTGCGGGACCGTCAAACGGCGGTACGGGAAGAGGCGGTGCATCCACAAGCCATGCCGCATCCGTCAACCAAGGTGGGACCCAAGCACGAGTCTACGCGATGACCGAGGCGGATGCGCGAGCAAACCCGGACTCCGTTGCAGGTAATACACGTATTCCCATGTATTTCTAGACTTATTTTGATCATATACACCGTTGGGGGTTGAGTTCGGGCCACCCCGGGATCAAACGGAGCGAAATTGAGCGAAATCGGGCGAAATCGGGCTGATTTCTGCCAACGCACTACAGGCTGGGCTGCACGCACGGCCGTGCGTTGCCCGTGCGTACCTCCGTGCGTTGGTGGCAGTAGCACCTCGGAGGAAAATCGCTGCACGCCCGGCCGTGCGTTTCCCGTGCGTACCTCCGTGCGTTGGTGGCAGTAGCACCTCGGAGGAAAATCGCTGCACGCCCGGCCGTGCGTTGCCCGTGCGTACCTCCGTGCGTTGGTGGCAGTAGCACCTCGGAGGAAAATCGCTGCACGCCCGGCCGTGCGTTGCCCGTGCGTACCTCCGTGCGTTGGTGGCAGTAGCACCTCGGAGGAAAATCGCTGCACGCCCGGCCGTGCGTTACCCGTGCGTACCTCCGTGCGTTGGTGGCAGTAGCACCCCGGAGAGAATCGCTGCACGCCCGGCCGTGCGTTGCCCGTGCGTCCCTCTGTGCGTTGGGGGCAGTAGCCTCCATTGGTAAGGCAAGGTACGCACGACCATGCGTACCCCCTACGCACGCCGTGCGTGGACCCCCAACACCCGAAACTTGATTTTTTCGCCCCGTTCTTCTACGTTTGGACCCTCGTTTGATTCCAAACATTAGTATGAACCTAATAACCTCCTAAAGGTGTGTAAAAACATTAGAAAATGTATCTTACATGGTGTATAAACGTAGGAACATTAAAGATCAATGGTAGGTGTGCGAGGATCCTCATCGATACCGGGGCACAACGCTCATTTGTGAGTGAGGCGTTTGCTGAGGGGCTCGACGTGCCATTGACGCCTATGACACAAACATTGCTAGTCTCCACACCGTTAGGAGATGACGTGGAGAGAAATCATTACTATCCATCATGTGAGGTGGAAGTGACGGGTCAACCCTTGACTTGTGATTTCGTACCTCTGAGCATGTTGGAGTTCGATGCAATCCTAGGAATGGATTGGCTTGAGAAGCACCATGCTCGAGTAGATTGCTACACCAAGGTGTTGGAGCTCGAGGATGATCTTGGAAACACGCTATGTTTCGAAGGAGATCGGGGGAAATCTAATGCTTGCATCATATCCGTGATGAGGGCAAGGAAGATGATGAGGAAGGGATGCCACGCATACCTTGCCTACGTGGTGGACGATACCAAGAAGGAAGTCGACATCAAAGATGTACGGGTCGTATGCACATACCCGGATGTCTTTCCCAAAGACCTACCGGGGCTTCCACCCGATAGAGAGATAGAGTTTGTAATTGAAGTGGAGCCGGGAACCAAACCCATTTCGATTCCTCCTTATCGAATGGCGCCGGCCGAACTCCAAGAGTTGAAGGTCCAACTACAAGAATTACTGGGCAACGGGTTCATCAGACCCAGTCATTCACCGTGGGGAGCACCCGTACTCTTCGTAAAGAAGAAAGATGGTACACTAAGAATGTGTATCGACTACCGACAATTGAACAAGGTCACCATCAAGAACAGGTATCCTTTACCTAGGATTGATGACTTGTTTGATCAACTTCGAGGGGCCATAGTATTCTCGAAGATTGACTTGAGATCGGGGTATCATCAGTTGAAGATCAAGGAGAGTGACATACCTAAGAGTGCATTTCGCACTAGATATGGTCACTACGAGTTTCTTGTGATGTCATTTGGGTTAACCAATGCACCGGCAGCATTCATGGACTTGATGAACCGTGTGTTTAGTGAATACTTAGATCAATTTGTGATAGTATTCATTGATGACATCTTGATATACTCCAAGAGCGAGGAAGAGCACGAACACCATTTGAGGCTTGTACTTGATCGGCTAAGGGAAAAGCAACTCTTCGCCAAGTTCTCCAAATGCGAATTTTGGCTCAAAGAGATTGGTTTCCTCGGTCATGTCATATCCGGTTCGGGTGTTGCTGTGGATAACGCCAAGATAAAAGCGATCATGGATTGGGAGAGACCCAGGAATGCGAAGGAGATACGTAGTTTCCTTGGCCTAGCGGGATACTATCGTAAATTTGTTGAGAAATTCTCCGTATTGGCGTCTCCATTAACGAAGCTCACAAAGAAAGGGGCCAAGTTCATATGGGACGATAAGTGCGAGAAGGGGTTCCTTGAATTGAAGAAACGACTTACCGAAGCACCAGTCCTGGCCCTACCCATACAGGGTATAGGGTACGACATTTACAGCGATGCTAGCATCCAAGGGCTTGGATGTGTACTAATGCAAAACGGTAAGGTGATTGCCTATGCTTCTAGGCAATTGAGGAAACACGAGGTGAACTACCCTACTCACGATCTAGAGTTGGGGGCGGTGGTGTTTGCATTGAAGATTTGGAGGCATTATCTCTACGGGGAGACGTGTCACATTTATACTGATCATAAGAGCTTGAAGTATGTATTCACTCAGAAAGAGTTGAATATGAGGCAGAGGAGATGGATGGAGTTGATCAAGGACTATGACTTGATCATCGACTATCATCCCGGAAAGGCCAATGTAGTGGCCGACGCACTGAGCAGAAAGAGTACGTCAGGGACGCTACTCACATGTCTACAGGCATTGAGGGCACACGTGGAGGTATCCACGAGCGGGGCGCTCATTGCTAGATTCGAGGTGAGGCCTACATTGCTGAGTGAGATCAGTAGATGTCAGGCCATTGATGAGGAATGTCAGAAGATCCGCGAACGGATCCTTGAGGGGCCCGTCGAGAATTTTCGGGTACGTGATGACGGTCTTTTATTATTTAAGGATCGTGTGTGCATACCAAAGAATGAGGAGCTCCAGAGGGCTATACTTGAGGAGGCTCATTCTTCAGCATATGCCATGCATCCAGGGGGTACTAAGATGTACCGAGATCTGAAGGAAAGTTACTGGTGGTCAGGCATGAAGAAGGATATCGCAGAGTTTGTGAGTCGATGCCTTACTTGCCAGCAAGTTAAGGCAGAGCATCAGCACCCAGCAGGGCTCTTACAACCGCTCACCATCCCAGAGTGGAAGTGGGAACATGTGACCATGGACTTCGTGGTGGGGCTACCACGAACAGTGAACAACTATGACGCAGTATGGGTAGTGGTTGATAGGCTCACCAAGAGTGCACACTTTCTGCCTATCAACATTACTTATCCTCTTGAAAGATTGGCCAAGCTCTACACAGAGGAGATTGTGAGATTACATGGAGTCCCAATATCCATTGTCTCGGATAGGGATCCACGATTCACATCCCGATTTTGGCCAAAGTTTCAAGCATCTTTGGGGACTAAACTGAAGTTTAGCACAGCTTTTCACCCACAGACGGATGGACAGTCCGAGCGGGTGATACAGATTTTGGAAGACATGCTTAGGGCATGTGCTTTGGAGTTCCAAGGAAGTTGGGACAAGCATTTGGCCCTAGTAGAGTTTGCCTATAACAACAGTTATCAGGCAAGTATCGGCATGCCCCCATATGAGGCATTGTATGGGAGGAAGTGCAGAACACCGTTGTGTTGGGACGAGGTTGGCGAGGCCAAACTCGAAGGGATAGAGCTGGTTGAGATCACCAAGGCCAAGGTGAGGATCATTAGGGATAGACTGAAGGCCGCTCAGGACCGACAGAAGAGTTATGCTGATAAACGGCGGAGACCGTTGGAGTTCGAAGTCGGTGATGAGGTCTTCCTAAGGATTTCTCCTTGGAAGGGCATCATCCGATTCGTATCGAGGGGGAAGCTTAACCCCCGATACATAGGCCCGTTTGAGATCCTTGAAAGGATCGGGGCCGTGGCTTACCGACTCAAGTTGACGCCTGAACTTGAGAAGATACATGACGTGTTTCATGTATCAATGCTCAAGAAGTACATACGAGACCCATCTCATATTCTTGAGAAACCACCGGTAGAGATCCGTGAGGACTTGCAATATGCGGTGGAACCAGTGAAGATTGTTGGTCAACAAGTGAAGAAGCTTAGGAATAAGGAGATTCCTATGGTAAAGGTTCTTTGGAGGAGTGATCGAGTCGAAGAAGAAAGTTGGGAGACCGAGGTCTCAATGATGGAGCAATACCCATTTCTTTTCGATTAGATACTTGGATTTCGGGGACGAAATCCCAAATAAGGGGGGGTGAACTTGTAACACCGTCCCCAAATATATTTACTTTTATGTAAATAATGTATTGAACCTTATTAAAGGATTAATGAATTTACGAAGTTGTAAATTTTTATTATTTCGTTCGCGTGAATAGTAAATTGCACGTGGGACCGACACCGGGAGCGGGGGCCCGCCCGACTATCCCGAGACCACATATTTTATTCATCTCGGTCAAGATAATATTTATATGGTGGTGGATATTTTATTTGGGCCATGGAAAGGCCCGGAGTTGACCGATTGGTCAAAAGAAGTCCAAATTACCGGTACTGGTAATTTATCAGATAACAGCCCGAACTGAATTTCGGAGGCTTATAAATTAAAGTTGGGGGATGTATATTCATTATACATGTAATACTGAGTAAGAGCACATAATATATTTTATTTGACCCGATAAAATAAAATATATTTAAAACAGTCCGAAAAATACAACTTTCGGGACCGATTGTACACATCGGGACACAAAGGGATGACCTCCCACATGAGTGGGGGCCATCCCACGTTTTATTCAGCTCAAATGTGACCTTTTGGGGCTGCAAAGACAAGGGAAGGTGGGAGGAAGGTCAACCATGAGGTAGGATGGGACCCTTTCCCCCCATAATTGGTGAGATGAGCCAAAAAGGCCATCCTATCACCCCCTCACCCCAATAGCTCGACCAAGACACCCAAGAAAGAGAAAGAAAGGCTCTCCAACCCTCCTCCATTGCAGCAACTCGAGCTCAAGCAAGAGAGGTCCAAGGAGTGGGATTAAAGAAGGAAAAAGGCTAGGAAAAGTGTGTAAATTAAGGTAATGACCTCATTATAACTTTTCCTTTATTTTTCTCCTACCATATGAGATATGTATCATGTGAAGAACCCTTAAGAGGGTTCTACATGTTATAAGTATGGATTTATGGGTTAGGAAGTGATTCTATGTCCAAGAACGGTCTTAGAAGCCAAAACGACCGGTTCACCGGAAAATAACCTTTTTGAGGTTATTTGTATTGATATGGGTATTATGATTATAAAACCTTGTTAGGAACTTGTGAAAGGTATTTCAAGTGATTTCACAAAGTTGGGAAAGTCGCCGGAATTGTCGCCGGAGTTGACCAAAAGTCGCCGGAGTTTCACCGGAGTTCAACCAAGAAGGGTAGAACTTCATAACGCTAATTCAAGGTGAGTGGACGGCTTACTATCTTATAACTTTTGGGTCAATCATGAGATTACCTAAATAAATGTTATATGTGTTCATAATGATGTTCAAAAGATATTTAAACATGTGATTAGCTAACATAGTTAAGTGCGTATGAAAAGAATAATTGTTTATGCATGAAATATGATATGAGAAATTATATATATAATGCATATTTGCTTTAAGAGTAAAAGAAGCACAAACGGATATTATTAACTTAATTATATGATGAATTAGTTAATAAGTGTAAGACTTGAGATGGCGGTCAACAACAACGTTGACCGATGGTTAATGGATTAATTAATATCGGTTGATATTAGTTAATTATACATTTATATGGTTGCATGGATTTGCATGGATTGTGATACATAAGCTTTATGTAGTGAATTAGTTATGAATGACTAAATATGATATAGACCCTATCTAGCGTGATATGTGGTAAGTCATAGGTCGGGTGGAGTACCCAAGGATCGGGCGGTTATCCTCAAAACTCGGTTATATAGGGTGGAGTACCCAAGGATCGGGCGGTTATCCTTAAAACTCGGTTATATAGGGTGGAGTACCCAAGGATCGGGCGGTTATCCTCAAAACTCGGTTATATAGGGTGGAGTACCCAAGGATCGGGCGGTTATCCTCAAAACTCAATTATAGGGTGGAGTACCCAAGGATCGGGCGTGTATCCTCAAAACTCATAGATTACATTTAATGATCTAGGACCGGGCGGTGTCCTTATGATAATTTATTTGAACAAGGAGGAGTTCTATACACTCATAGGTATATGGGTGGGTTGGGATTTAAGTCAAGGATATTGGCTACTATTATTTTCCCAAATAAACAATGACCTACGGGTCGGGTATTTCCAAGTGTATGTATACTAATATGTATTTCAAACTTGGGGGAAGGACTATACGTATATGTATCATCCTATGTTTGGGTCTTATACTTGAACGCTAGTTATTCTATATTTAGCCTGCTACTCGCTCGGTACTTGTACTGACCCCTTCGGGGGGCCCCACCATTTTCAGGTTGAAGCTAGGGCTTGCTACTTGCACCTCTCTTACGGGTGATATCGACTCAGGAAGACGTGGTTCGTGCTTCCTTATTTTCTTTCAAACTACCGAACACTTGCTCATGGATATTTGTTCTACTATAAACTATTTTTGGGGCTTGCATGCCCATGTTGTTGGCCGGTTGTGGCTTATGACTTACCGTTGAATATTTCCGCTATTCATTGGTTTTAATGTGATGTTGTTATGTATGTTTACTACTGAGTATGGATGGATTATATTCTCGAACGCCTTGTGTAATTAAGTGAGGTTGACTCGCGGGTGACGTCACTTGGTTATACGGCGGTTGTACACGCGCTTGGATTGCGGTCTGGGGCGTGACAGAATAATCGTTCTCAAATCAAATGTAATGGAACATTTTGGTCGTTTTTTCTACTTTATTAGTAGTAGAGTAGTAGAAATCAAGAGCCCATTTGGATGACAATGTAGCAACATTGGCCCTGGTCCAGTCCAAATTTAAAAAAAAAATCTTTATTTTTAGTGTAAAAAATTTCGGACAAAACAAATTCCAAAAATATTTTTTGTATCGGCTCAGTCCGGCCCAGTGCCCTGGCTCCGCGCCTGAGCATGCGTGTTCATGGACGAATCCAAGATTTTGAGTCAAGGGGGTGAAAGTTTTAGTTAGTGTAGGGGTAAAAAACACTAGTGTAGCGGGAAGATCTTTTTGCTAGTGTAGCGGTGCGAAATTGTTTCACTGGTGTAAGATTCTGCGGCTATTTTTATTCAAAAACAATTCATTAATACATACCCGGAAACATTTAAACCTATATATTATTACATTTTAACTTTAGACAATGACAAAAAAACTTTAATTTTATTATTGAAGTGCCCCAGAAAAAGTATTGAGACATTAAAGCGTAACAAAAAGCAAATCAAAGGAAAATATGTTTACATTAAAAAGGATATATAACATTTTATTTGAAGATAAAGTGTTTAACAGGTACACATTCACCAATACTTTTGAAATAACTTTTACATTGTTTAACTAGATGAGTCTTACAGAAATAAAGAGTTGGTTTTCGAATTACAATTTTTGTCTACAAAGGAGGTGATCATGAGTCATGATAAGTTTTTTTAATATTACAATAGTACATATGAGATTATTATTTTTAGAATAATATTATATTGCTAGTTCAAATATATAGTTCATATTAATTATATATATATGTATGTATTAATGCTAAATTAAGTTAAAGTTTATTATCTATGCAATAAAGTATTTTTAGAATGTAAGATGTAAATGGATTGTGTAATTTAATGTCAATAAACATTCGTATTTTGGATTCACTTCACATGATTTACAAATTGTGTAACTAGTGTTTTTGGTATTTAATATCTTTTAATATATATTTTACAAAATTCGAGTACTAGTTATCTGATAAAGATAATTAAACATTACAAAACTAAGAATTTTTATATAATAAATATCGTAAATCTTAAACAATGAGGTTTCTATTGTGTATTTATTTAAGTTATATAAATTATTTTATTTGTTATGTAAAACTATATTAATTTCGAAAACTAAAAGTTAAGGGGAGCGAATCTAATTAAAGTATGAAAATTTTATGAAAATATTACATACTACGGTATGTTATTAATAAAAATATATTTTAAATATATTTTATTAGATACTAGCGATTACTCGCGCAAGGCGCGAGAATATTTGTCCAATATTAAATTAATGTTGTCTTTTGTAAAAATAGTTGGCATATGCAACATTGTTAGGAGAGTTTCGTAAATAGCTAATGAAATTTTACATATCAAGCCCCCTTGGTGACTTTGTTATTTGTCTTATCTGGCTTATCAACCAACTTTTTAACCAAACACGTAATTTTTTATTTCGCGCATTGAATTTAGTAATAATAACAAAAAGTAAGGTTGTAGTTACTTTTCTAGTTGTATTGGCTGAAGTTACATTAGATGACTATTTTAGCTATTTTCTATATAATTTTTTGTTTATTTTATTAATAAAATATATTTTAAATATAATATATTCATAAATCAACAAATCGGCCCTATACAGCCACTTCAGCCAGAAGTTCATAAATTTCACCAGAATCGGCCAATTTCAGTGTTACCAAATAGGTTCATCATATACTACGTATAATTTAAATATTGTCAGAATAATTATATTCCATGTCAAGCAGTTATTCTGCAGAAAATATCTAATTATGTGGTTCATCCTTAATCAATTTTAAGAAATACATTAAGAATATTAATGTAAGTCTCATCCAAATGCATATAGTTGTGCACAAACCATTTTTATGAGCAATAAGTATTTCACATTCTTGACAAGGTTGTAATCATATGTGTTTGAAGTAATAAAAGATTACATTTAAGCCACATACTTAGCTATGTAACATCGACCTTAGATAAGAAAATGTTTCACCTGTGAAACATTTCGTATGTTGAACATATAATCTGCAATTGTAAGAATATATTTTTTCCAAACTATATAATTTATATATTTAGAAAGTACAAGAATATTTATAATAATGCATAAAATTAAATGAAATCTGAGTATGTTAAGAAAAAATAATAAGTATGAAATCGTAAAAGATTACAAATTATAAAGTGAATGAGAAGTACTCCCTCTGTCCCCTTTTAAATGTCCCGGAAGAGGGAGACACGAGTTTTAAGAAAAGTGGGTTTGTGTGGTTGATATTAATTGATAAAGTAAGAATAAAATAAGAATGATTTTGAGCCACACAAACTTTACCAAATAAGGTATGTGAAAATTAAATAGGGACATCCCAATATGGTATAACGAGACATTTACAAGGGGACGGGGGGAGTACATCGCTACTGATAGAATAGTACACGATACAATAAAATAAAGAAAAAATTATATGTAAAATAGCTAAAATGGTCATCTACAATAACATCAGCCAATACAGCCATAAAAGTAACTTCAACCTTACTTTTTCTAGTTATTACACAACTTAGCGCGTGAAAACAAAAGTTATGTGTTTGGTGAAAAAATTGGCTGATAAGCCTGATAAGCCGAAAAACATGATTGTCAAACGGCCTCATAGATAAAGAAAACTACTCCGCCAGTCCGCTAGTCCACTGCGCGCATTGGCTTATATAGAAAAAGAAAACTACTCTCTATAACGGAAGTTAAAATCTCACGGATCGTAAGGGTAAAACAGCCCATGGAAAAAACAGAGTTTCATCTTCTAATAATAATGTACAACATCTTATGCACCAAGTGTGTTGACACAATTCAGGGGTACCAACCCTCATTCATAATTATATTGTTATATTAGATGTTACTATGTTAGATGTTAGATATATTAGTTTATTGATATCTATTAGTTTATTTTTAGCTTTCCAGGGCTACCCAGTCCCCGCGCCCCCCTTAGATTCATCCCTGTACATATTTACTTCACATGTCTTACTAACTCGATTGTGATTTTAGCAGCGAAGTAAACACCTCATAAGTGTTGTCTTCCAAATCCTTTATTTAGATGTGTTGTCTTTCAAATCCTTTATTTAGCTCAACTAATATAGTACTACATCCGTCCCGCAGTCCCGCTAAGATTGTCCCGTTTTACCATTTCGGTCCGTCCCACTAAGATTGTTCCATATAAAATTTGGCAAGTTTTGCGTGGATCTAAATCATTCTTACTTTATCAATTCAATATCAACCACATAAACGATTTTCTATTAGTTTGCGTGTCAATCTCTCTTGTACCATTGTTGGTGGGAGGGAGTAAGTAATAAAGTAGAAGAAAAATCAAACTTGAGGGTGGACATCGTGAATTCCGCGACAAAGACTAGTATGAGATTACTAGCAATATGAAATTATGAATCATTGATTCTAGTGGTGAAAAATATCTAAATTAAAATCATCGGCGTTCAAGAAAATTCAAATTTATTGAAGTAATCACCACTGATTACATAATTACCACTGATTTTTAGGGCAAAATATATCGTACAGTCAGTTGTATCGTGTACACGGTACAACCAGGTTTTTCTTCCCTTGTTTGCGTGCGTCTTCGATCGATCTCACTTTGCTTCTTCGATTTGGCTTTGCACAAGACACATTGCTCGTCGCCACCGCTCACCACTCGTCCACTTCTCTTTTGGCTCGTTGCTCGTCGCTAGCGCTCACCACTTGCCCCCTTCTCCTCCATTGCAAACGCGGGGCTCCGCCGGCGTAGTTACCTCTCATTCCTCTCTCCACTTTCCCACTCTTTTCTTTTTTTCTCTTTTTCTTATGCAGTTTTGTTGTTTAAGCAAGTGATTTTCGAAGACAAGGGGAGTCTACTTCGTTGATGAGGAATCCTTGCTGCTATTGATCTCAAATGAGTTTTATATAAATTCTAATGAGTATATGCCTAAAAAGAATGAACATACATAGATGAATATTGAGCACATTAGAAATGAGTTTTGTTTCCCATAAAACTCAAATGAGTATAACACACCAAATGAATGAGTATACACAAATGAGCTTTTGAATTTTTTGATACTCATTCCGTAAGCTATGTACGCTCATTTGATACGCTTTATGCTCATTTTAAAATGTTACTACCTCCGTCCCCCTAAGTTTGGGACAAGAGAAGGTGGCACGGTTATTAATAAAAGTGGGTTTATGTGGTTGATATTGAATTGATAAAGTAAGAATAAAGTAGGAATGATTTAGAACCACACAAACTTTACCAAATAAGGTATGAGACAATCTTAGTGGGACGGACCGAAATGGTAAAATGGGACAATCATAGCGGGACGGAGGGAGTATATTTCAAACGTATCACACTACATTAAGTTTGAAATTCAAATATTTTATGTGGGGTGGTGTTAAAATACTTTGCGTACTTTTTATTTATGGTGCGAAGGACCTCATTTTTTAGAGATCAGCCCTAATCAGGAGATCCGGAGTCTCTGCAATACTTCAAAGCAAGGCACCGTGCCTGGCTTTCGGGAACCACCCGATCAAAAAGTGGACGGTCGGAGATTTCAACGCACAGATCCCGAGGCCTTCTCTTCTCCATCGGACGGATCCCTGCGCGCAAGGTACTCTGCCGTGCGGCCGAGGATCTGATTCCCTAATCAGGAATCAAGATTCTCTTGTTTCTTTTTTATCGTAAATATTCTCTTGTTTTAAATATTCCAGGTAGAATATATTCGAATTTTCCAAAAATTTTGTGGAGCCCTATATGACTCTACTATGGAGTCATATAGTACATGTGACATTATCACTATCATTCAATTCTACAGTAGATTTATAGTGGAGGACCCTACTTCATGAGTGAATGATTGTGATGGTGCCACATATGCTATATAACTCCATAGTGGAGTCATATAGGGTTCCATAAAATTTCCCCCAGTCATTTGATTTCACACTTATTAAAAATTTAATTTTT